AGTGGTGGTGGCAGCGTGTGGTAGTGATCGGTAGTGAATGGAGGAAGAAAGGGCCGGTAGTTTTTTTTTTTTTTGTTAGCTATATTTGAGATGTGTACTTTTAGTGATTTTGGGAGTATTTTTGGAGTTTGTTATTATAGATTCCAAATATAAAAACTAGTTTTCCAAAAAAACTCATTTTAAAAACATAGGCCAAGATGCGATATTACATTAGAAAATCAAGATGTAATTTTCAAGGGGTAAAATTGTAATTATAATATATGTTAAAGAAGAATCAGTTCCTTGAGCACGCTTCATTGTATCCATATATATGTATTATTTGCTTCTTGTCTTGTGAAAACCTTCAAAAGATGACTTGCAAGGGAAATAATACCTACCAACTGATGGATTCCAAAGCACTTGCTTCTTGTGTTCTCCTCCTTCATCTGTTGATTGTCCTGGTAAGTTACTTTGACAATTAATTGTGTTTTGTGATTTATATGCTGTGGACTTAATTCTCGCTGTCTTACAACACTATAAAACCTGTACAGGGAGCCTGTGATATCATACCCAAGGCCAAGGATAGTGGTACCAATGCAATCAGGCTCCAGGGCATGGATGCTAATAATCCTCATCGAAATGATAAGACACATCATGTTGCTCACGTCCATGAAAAGAAGTCAATGCATGATCCTTCTCTTTCCTCATCCCACATGATGCATCAGATGGATCCAAGAACAACCGTGTTTTTCGTTTTAGATGATATGTCCTCTCCTTATCTCTGGCCTAGAGAACAAGCCGATGCTATCCCCTTTTCATTGGCAAAACTCCCACGAGATTTTTCATGTGACAGCCCCACCTCACCTTAAGGCAAACCAAAGGGTTCGGCGGACCGCCTGCCCAACTCTCGCCGGGACTTAGTCGTTCACTACAATCCTCAAATAAATTGCAATGTAAAACTCGATTATACATCAAATTCTCCAAAAATTACAAATCCCATAAGCGAAGCAGATCTAATTCTGAGCGTGGAACGCACACATACATCCACCCAAAACCAAGCATTGGTAAGCCCAACTATTACACAATTGAACACAAGTAAATGTTGACTAACATTAAAGAATACACACACTTAAATAAATTCCATATACATAGGAGAAAGTGCTTTCATATATATACAGGGCACTAGATCTACAAATCCAAAAAAGAATATTGGATGGGTACATTAGGGTTTCCAACTGTTGAGGAGCTATATGAAAGAACCGCAAAATATCTCACTAGCTCACTCGTGTCAAAAATCATGATTTTTCAAAAAGAAGTTTCCCTGTAAGGAAAACAAAATTAACGGAAACGGGGTGAGCTTACGCTCAATGAGGTACCAATATAATAACAGTTTGGAATCGCGGAAATTCTTATTCAATTAGTCACATAAGCATTTCAACGCGGAAATAAACAAACATCTTAAATGGAAAGGATACGGGTGGCTCTCAGGAGCCTCAAAATTCCTGTTGCAGTACTTGATCCAACCCCGTTGACTCTCTGTCAACGTATGAAAATAACCATGTCCGTAGACCCCACTTTACACCAAATTCCGTCCATCAAACTTTCCCCTACCGGGCCCGAACACCTCAACAGTACAGTAGTGGTAATACTCGAGTATACCGGAATCAAGGGTCTCAATACCCAAGGATTCCAAAATAGACCACTGTGGTTCGTTGTCTAATCGACCTAGCCCATGCTGGCTCGACTCGAGTAACTAGCCATAGGTTTTGAGTTCAGAGATCACAAAATGGTCGTTGGGTACAAACCCCCAAACGCCGCCAGAACAGTTACAGATACAGATAACAGTTTCAAATTTACACAGTAAATGATCACAAGGCAAGAGAACGAGTGTGATAAAGTACACCCTCGTCCCAAATAGAATAAACAGATAGTACAATCTTTCATATCATAGATAGCATGTATAGAAGCCACATCTCATCAAAATTAAGGGAAGTGGGACACTCACCGGTTCACGTAAAATTCTTCAAAAGTTTTCACGCCGGTGTGGCTTTAGTCGCCAAGAGCCCTAAAATAATCGAAGTAAAATAATTGAAGGTTCCATATCCAAATTCGAGTAAATAAAATGTACAAGTGAGACCCGACTACTGGTCGTATGCCTCGCCAAATGCTTACTAATGCAAGAGTGCAAAACATGAGTTTTGGGAGTGAAAAGATAACAAAAGGACCTAGGGCTTGAGCAACTCAAAAGCACTTCAAGTCTATCAAAAGGCAACCAAGCTAAAAGGGACCAAAGGGCCTAGAAAATTGAACAGCATCTCCCTTAAATTTGCTTACTTTTCCATCCTATAAACAACACCAATTCATCTCAAATCAATCACATACACAACATAGACTATCAAATACTCCTTTTGGCATACTATCCATAACTGAAGCTATACTTATCAGATTGAAACGAATCTTATGGCGTTTCGAAGCTAAGACATAGATCTACATTTCTTATGAAGATCTCCAAAGCCAAATCCTACATTTTGAGGGTCAAATATCAAAATCTTGGAGAGAACAGAAAACTGTCCACAAAACAGAGTCCTATGGGCAGTCAGGGGTATTTCAGTCAATTCACAGGCTACAGTGATCCGATAGATCTAGAATTTTGAAAGGTAGATAGCTAGCTCATGTGTCTACAACTTTCATGTTTCGAGCAAGGACTGATTCAATCTTTAACATGGTCAAATGAACAGTACAAAACAGGGCAGATTACACCCTAAGCTGGAAATTAAACCACACAAGCTAACATTTCCTTAAGTAAGTGAAACTAGGCTATAAAACTTCAATAAATCCCATACCACAGCTATCAAAACATATCTAATCATTTCGCATCGTATCAAGGCGGAAAATCCCCAAAAAAAACTAAAAATTTCACAATACCACCTCATACCATGAAATATTCCAATTCACAAGAATTTCCACTAAATGAATCAAGTTCAACTCAAACTCAAAACAATCAAAGGCTCTCAAAGATTGGACAGAATTTTCCCTTTAATTTCCTTATTTTCCAACCTTCAAAACATTACCAATACCATCTCAATTCAACCACACATTCATATACAAATCATAGGCTACTAAATACCCTTCAATTGAGCTAAATGATAGCTCCCAAAACACACCACAATCAAGTCTCAATTCAAAACCCTAAAACCGAAATGTAGTTGCACAAGCTAAAATTTCACAACAAACCACAATTAACATATAAAAACTTCCTTCTATACCATATCAAGTTATCAATTCCAAGGCCAATCCAATACTTATCCTATCAACCAGAAAAATCATCAATAAATATGAAAATTGGTCAAGCCCAACCATAGGTCATGAAATATGCGACAAACTAGGCTATTCAACCACTATAAACCACTAATTTACCATTAATACGAACAAAGAGGAGATTCCTTCACACTCACCTTATAAACTTAAGAAAGGTAGCAACTTAGAGCCTTCTCTTCCAAATCCACTCCAACAATAGCTAGCAAGCACCTTAGATGTGAAGTTGATCGGAGTAGATTACAATTTAATCGGTTGAACTTCAAGATTGAAACAAGGAATTGAGGTGTCTCTCTTGTTTTCTGTCAAGAACAGTCGGCCAAGAGAAGTAGAAATGAAGAGAAAAGGCAACCAAAACAAGATAAGAACAAAGAAATATGGCTGGTCAAAGGTGGCTACGAACGTGACATGTCACAATCCGGCTAGGATCTGGCCGGATTACCGGCCGGATTCAAGGCCGGATTCGCGGCCACGTCATGATCCGGCCAGAATCTAACTGGATTTCCGGCCGGATTCTGGCCAGAGACGAAAACCATTTTTTTCAAAACTGCAAGGCAATCCGGCCATGTATCCGGCCAGAAACTGGTCGGATTTTCGGCCGGATTTGGTCCCTTCCCTTTTTGTAAAATTTTTCTTTTCCAAGTTTAAAAGCTGCACTCCTCCACTCGTCCAACAAAGATATAAATATAAAATGAAAACCCTCCTTAGAAATGGATAGTAAATTTGTTTCCAATTCAAAAGAGAGAATGAGAAGAAACAAAAGGTTGAGAAAATGTGAAAGTTTTACGGTTCTCACACTCTCTCCCCCTTAAGAAATTTCGCCCTCGAAATTTTCCTTTTAATGGAATCTATCAAAATTTGCGTTAAACAGCGGACCGTACCTTCTACATCCTTGGACGAGTCAGAAACCTGAAGATGCTCCAGGGAATACACCCGAGCCGGTTCTTTCGATCCAGTCCCTTTTTCCTTCGTCTGTCCAGGGTTAGTATTGAGTGGTTGCTGGGTTTTCCTCCCTTCGCGTAGGACAAGTGGGCAGTTAGCAACCCGGTGATTTGCGCCCCCACAACGCAGGCATTTTTCCCTCCTTTTCCAACAATTCACCTCAGTATGGTTAATTTTTCCGCAATAGCCACAGGATAGGTGAGGGGTTGAGATTTCATCTTCCTGTGAGGCTCCTCTTGGAGTATCTTATTTAGGTGTCTCCAAAATTCTTACACCTCTGGCTCCTCTACCTACCTTAGCGAGTGGCCTACCGGGATTACCTTGTTCCTGTCTCTGAATGTCACTAAGTGTACCCCTTTTCTTTGCATGGAAAGCTTCTGCTGGAATCCTTTCACATTGCCTTTTCAGTTCTATGTTCTCATACAATAACTCAATTTTCTCCGATTGCTCACGTTTCCATCGCTCTTCCCAATACTCAGCTAATTTCTTTTGAACTTCTACCTCGTTTCGAAGAATCTCGATTTCCTTATACATACCTACCAAGTGTGCCATCTCGGGGATTCAGTGAAACTCAAGTGATAACCTGCCAGGCCAGTTGACAAATCACAATAAATCATAATAAATAACTAGGTATAAGTGGCAATTTAACCCTATAACTGTTAAGTTCCTTTGCTTCCAATTCAACCACAGAAGATTAAACTTAGATATGCTCAAATGAAATAAGCAGAAAAGTAGGATATAGTTAAGGCAATATCTTAAGATACTATGCCATATATCACGTATGTACATATTGAAACCTTAAAGCATACTTCGTATATCAAGAGTTTCATACCTTATGCCACTTCTTTGTTTTCAAAATTTCTTTACCTATTTCCAAAACTCTCAATCTTGGTGAGTCACTAATCAAACCAAGTTCATACGGAATCATTAGTGGACAGGTATCAAGGAATTACAGGCAAGGTAGTTCGTCGAGAACCAAGCTACGGTTATTAGATATTCAAAGCGAGGTAAAAGCCTAGATCATTGTAGTCAAGCCATCCCGAATCAAATAATTACCTATCAAGTCCTCACGGTTATAACAAAAGAAAACAAATCTTAGGTATGACTTTCTCAATGTACCTTACTATCTAGCCACCCTCTAGAAAACCCTAGCCAGACGAGTGTAGGACTCGTCCATGATAACACTTCCATATTTCATCCTCTCAATCAGTCTAATTACTAGGTCAAATGTAAAGACCCTCCGTACCTTGGCCTTTGCCATCAAGATTTAACCCACATTTAATCAGGATACATACCCTTATTCTGGCACTCTCCACCATTTGGCACTCAGGTCCAAGAATCTAAAATAAGATAATTCATAACTTGAGCCGGCCGGTCCCAAGCGTAAATCATCCATATTCAAGATTCCTACCCGACATACTTATCTGTCTTCCTCAAGTTCCATGATATAGATTTTTTTACATTTAACATGCACGGTTCATAACTTATGCTCAAAAGAGCACTTAATCCTTTAGACACCTTCACAAAAGCAGGACTATAACACAACTCGGCCCAAGCTACCAACCACACATAAACAACAGGTTCAAAAGTAGGAGTACGAGTTCAAGAAATT